CAGAGAAAAAAGCCCCTTTTTTTTTCCACTGAGGTGTAAGTGGGGGGGGGGGGTGTCTATTTTCACATCAAGTGACATTACACATTTTGATTTGAAAAGAAAGGTGGAATGAGCAAGCAGTGAAAAGGTGCAATACTTAATGCACCATGTAGAGACACTGGGAGAAGAAAAGAAAAGAGAAAAGGATCCATTACAGAAGAAAACAGAGATTCAGCCAGCTGTATGATCACTTTTCCTCCCTCATCTTCTCCTCCTTAATCTTCCTGCTAATTAATAGGGTTTCTTTTTAGAGCTGACCATTGATATGACCGTGATTCATCTTGATTCCTTTATTTCACGTTAGCTGCAGCTTCAAAGGATAAACGTACTTATTGTAGTTCAGCTGTTAGTGACACAAACCTACCAATAGAAGGAGACGGTAACAGCTTGTCCGAGGGTTGAAGTGGTTCTTTAGTGTGTGTGGTGCATGTTATAACATTTTCTCTCAATACTCTTTTGTGGTGTTGGGCAGATTCCATGTCCATACATAAGAAAGCTAGACAGTGACATGTTGACATTAAAAGTATAGTTCACCAAAAAAAGGAAAAGTCTGTTTATATTTACTCACCTTAATGTCATTCAAAACCAGAATGATTTTGTGTGTGTGTGTGTGTGTGTGACATAAAAGATGTTTTCAGAATGTTGATGCTGCCCTTTCCTAGACAGTGATCAGGGACTTTAAAAGTGTCCCATAATACCAATACTGTGTATAATTCTGACTAGAACCAGAAATTCTGAGCATATCACACCAGTCCTCAGGTCCTTACACTGGCTTCCAGTTACATTTAGGATTGATTTTAAAGTAATTTTACTCGTTTATAAATCACTCAATGGCCTAGGACCTAAATACATTGCAGATATGTTCACTGAATATAAACCTAACAGACCACTCAGATCATTAGGATCAAGTCAGTAAGAAATACCAAGGGTTCACACAAAACAAGGGGAATAAACTGTTATACATTTTTCTCAGGATTGTTTGATGAATAGAAAGTTCATAACAGCATTTGAAATATAATTTTTTTTGTAACATTATAAATGTCTTTACTGTAACTTCATCAACGTAATCCATCCTTCCTGAATAAAAGTATTTCTTTAAAAAAATCTTACTGACCACAAACTTTGAATGGTATTGTGTATATGTAGAAATTAGCATTACATGAACATTATTATTGTTTATTTTTTGTTCACGCTAACTATTGCATTTCTGTATCTTATTGTAAAGTGTTACTGATGAAAGCATTTTCATTTTTGTGTGAACTATTGCTCCTATTACAAAATGAGCTTATTCAAGGTAATCAATTCATGTTATATTAAATCATGTGAAAGTAAATCTATGTGCATAGCTAAGAGAGCTAAGTGCTAAACACATCTGCACATTAAGCCAAAATATCATTATAAAAATGGATTTCCAAAACAAAAAAGTAAATTTTCTAAGAGGGTGTTTTAAATTCCTTCCACACAGTAAAGGAAGTCAAAGCCGAGCCACAGATGAGATCAATGAGGCTGTGACAAGAGGCCATGTAACCTCAGTGATTCTCAGATAAGCTGGATGGCTCAATATCACTCTGCAGTGAATGCTAGGACCATCAGGCTGTTCCACACCAGTGCCTTGATCCAACTTCCGGTCCTCCAGTTTGATCAACACTAGTGCTACTTGTCGACCCTAAGCCTGATCACAACCCATGTAGGGTTAATCTCACTTCTGATCCCTAGAACTCTACCAAACCCTGGAGCTCATCATCTCCAGTAACCAGGGGACCCGATTCTCTCTCTCTCTCTGCCTTAATGGAGACCAAACTCCTACAACGAACCATCACAGAGGCTTATAATTGTAATTTAAACTCATGTAATTACTGTATAGGTAAGATAGCTGGACAATGGTAAATGTTAACAATCTAGGACATCACCTCATTCTCTTTTTCTAATGTTTTACTGAGTGTTGTACATGTTTGAATTTGTAAGCTGTATGTCGGCAATGTGACTGGGATGACCAATGTGATCTGTTTTTGTTTTTTTTATTGCAAAGATAAGCTGGAGCACATTTGGTAAAAATTTTAACATGAAATGTCTATGTGAAAGTAAACACAAAATACCTGCAGGACCTGTTGTATTTGCATTGTCACTATTATTCTTATATGTGTCGCGAATATCTCAGGTTTTTTTTCCCGATGATCATTTTTGGAGTTGTTTCTTTAAGGCGCTGTACTCAAAACTGCATCTAAAATAATGGTGAAATTCATGATTTAGTCTCTATTTTGTTTTGTAAAAAAAAAAAAAAGAGTCAAGTGTCATTGAAAAGCACTCAACCACCTTGCCATATAATGAGTTTGTGAGTGTGTTTGCATTAACCATAACCTGTGTATTCATATTTGTCTTTAAATCAACCTCAGATATCCTGTGACCTCTTGAGTATGAACATCAAATCACTGTCATCTCAGTACGAAGCTCTCTGGTAAATTGGGTTGTGGCCTTTTTTGACTTCTAATTTCATATTTTATTAATTACCTTCTTTTATTAATCGAAACACCCAGTTGTTATTCTCAGAGCACTGCTTTAGTACTACAACCCACCTAGATATCCAACTGGGTGTACATACTTAAAATGCTAATTTTGGACATTCAGTCTACATCTAAATTCAATCTAAAACAATCTGAAATGTTTCTGTAAAAATATTGTAAAAAATTTCTTCTTACACATTTTTTTTTTCTTTAAGTTTGTTTTAGTTCATGGAAAACTGTACCACAGTGCAAATCACATGAGCTTCAATTTGACACTGGGGAAGATTTTAAGAGCTACGGTGAGCTATTGTTTTTCAGTATTGATCAGAATTAACCCTTTTTAAGGTGGCCGAGAAGTGCAAAACAAATCACAATTCTGAAAACAAAAGAACAAATGACAAACGCAAACGCAAGTCTAAAAAAACAAATTAAGAAGTCAGAAAACACAACGACAAATCAGACAAACCGGAAAAGGTAGGTATAGTTTGAGACAGTGCCATTGGTTTGGGATTACTCACCGCTGACTGGACGAGACATCTGTCAATCAACGTATACAGGGAAGAACCAGCCGAAGAACAGCAGAGTCGTGGTAGAAAGTTCAGAGATGGTATTAAAGTAGCTCAGTTTAAATGTATTGTATGAATTGCCCTTACTATGGAATAAAACACACGGGGTGTATATTTAGATTTAGTAAAAAGTGGCTGTAGAACATCAACTCCAGTGGTGCAGATGGATAAGTGCTTGCCCTTGGCTTTTTGATGCGATCGACCCATGTTCGATCCCGCCTTTTGCCGAACTTTTTTTTCCTCCCTTTTCAAATCTCGTATGAGCAATGGATTCTATTTACACTAAGTGAAAATAGCAGCATTTTTAGCAATATGCTATTTACACTAAGTGCAAATACCTAGTTACACAATTATATAATACACAATACACAAGTGGCAATTATCTGCACTTCAGTATTGTAGTACATTATAAAACAGTATGCAATAATAACGTATTGAGTGTAAATTATAATTTAAATTATTACATGGATGCCACCTTATTGCTACAATAAACCCTAACGCTACCCGATACTTTATTTTCAACTTTTTGATTATTTTTCTTAATTTTTATTTGGAAATAAATGCCTTTACGATGTTATACAAGATTTGAAAAGGGAGGGGAAAAAAGTTCGGCAAAAGGCGGGATCGAAATCGGGTCGATCGCGTCAAAAAGCCAAGGGCAAGTGCTTATACATCTGCGCCACTGGAGCTGATGTTCGACAGCCACGTTTAACTAAATGTAAAAATACACTCCGTATGTTTTATTCCACAGTGAGGACAATTCATTCAATACATTTAAACTGAGCTACTTTAATACCATCTCCGAACTTTCTACCACGACTCTGCTGTTCTTCGGCTGGTTCTTCCCTGTATACGTTGATTGACAGATGTCTCGTCCAGTCAGCGGTGAGTAATCCCAAACCAATGGCGCTGTCTCAAACTATACCTACCTTTTCCGGTTTGTCTGACTTGTTCATTTGTTTTTGGATTTTGTCATTGTGTTTTCTGACTTATTATAATGTTTTCTGAATTGTTGTTGTGCTTTCTGAATTGTTATTTTGTTTTTTAGACTTGCATTTGCGTTTGTAATTTATTTTGTTTTCAGAATTGTGATTTGTTCTGCACTTCTTGGCCACCGTACCTTTTGGCTAACATAAATTGCAAAAGCATGAAAGATCTTTAGGTACCTTATTAAGATATTCCACAGAACCATTCTTTTTTTAAACCAATGGAGAATAAACTAGCATGAAATATACAATTGCACCATCATCCCATACTTTTGTCTTCCCCATTCCACTCTATTTGCTCTAATGTCACTCTAATAGCTATTCAGCTTTCACACTCTCAAACGGGGTTCTGCTCCTTGTTGTTGTCTATGGCAATGTTTGTGTATAAAAGCATGCGTCACGTTTCTAATAGATGTAAAAAGTGCAGTCAAGAAAATGAAAGTGTCTTACAGTGTCATGTATTTTTTTCTATTTGAAAAATCAAATGCATATTTACATTTGAATGAAGTACAAAAAGACAAGAGACAGATATGAAATATTGTAGGCTCTTTAAGTGTATTTGGGGTTTGTCGTGACCGCAAGGGCATTAGCCAGCCTCTTATCAGAATGTCCTCTTGTTTATTTTAACCATAAAGTGTCAATGGGGGGAAAAGAAAATATTCTGTAGCGAAAAGAAAAAAAAGCCAATGAATTCTAATGTGCCAAATTTGTTCTGACACAAGCAGTGTTCAAATAAATATGAATAAAGTTTGCATTCCTGAAGAGACTGAGATGTTTGTGTTCTTTTGTAGATTATATTTGAACAATTTTATTGTAATTGAATTGTGGAGCAGTAGTTTGCATAATCCATTACAGTACTAATAAGAGGAATACGTACGTACATTTGTTGATTTATTTATTAATATAGATTGCATTTGTAATATGTACTCTGAGCAAAGAGGAAAACTCTGATTAGTTATACACACTAATACACTTAAATATTACAGGCAGCAGGTAGCAGGTCGCTGTAGATAGTAGTTCTCATGGTAACCAGTCTGACTCCTCCTGTGCCAGCGCACTCCTCAAGCTTTCCTTATTCCTGAGAGTGTTCAACAGGAGCTCCAGAGATTTGACCACTGGCTGCAGACTACCTCCAATCTGTCTCTTCCCAAACCGCCCGATAGGTCTCACACCACGCCCCACATACCAGAATGGGTCAATCTCTGGACCTATTTATGAGAGGTCAAGACAAATGTTACTATTATTAATGAGTGCATATTTGGTATATGTGCACATATTACAAATAATTTTGGTCTGTTTGTTGTCAATCATGAATCTAATTTAAGTTTTACTATTACTTTAATAAGGTAAACAACTAGAAAGGTTATTTAAATACATTATGTCTTATAATCCGTTTTATAATAAGTTCTCGTAATGCACAGTTATAAAATGCATTAAAACAGATGCATTAAAACAAATGAACAACATCATATTTCACACTATTAGTGTTAGAATGTATTACAGTCTATTAAAGTACATTTTTATGAACTTTATGACCAAATAAAACTGGCTATATCAGGTTAAACCAATGAAAGTAATTTTTAAGAATCAAATTAAAATAGGTCACAAGTGCAGGTTGTGATTTTTCTAAAAAGAAAAAGGTAAAAGTGCTACAATAAAAGCTGTTCATTGGCCACTGTAGGTTATCTACCATATACTGTATATGTTTACATCATTTTCTCAATTCATTTATTCAATACTTTTAAAGTAAAACATTTTATAAAAATAAAAAAAAGTCTCCCGTTTCTTAGTTATTATATTGCCTTTTGTCTTGCCATCTGCAATATTAATATATATATATATATATATATATATATATATATATATATATATATATATATAATAAACTTCAATATATTTGAATAAACTTTAATATATATATATATATATAATAAACGTCAAAGCACAATGAAATTCAAGCAGGTTGGTTTATAAACATTATATCTCTTGATGAAATAATATCATGAATTATAACATATACAGGCGCAAAAAAATCTGTTAGTGTCAGATAATTTCTGTTAATTTAACAAGATTTTCTTTTTACATTGTATAACAGTTACATGTTAAAGTATATTTTGACAGTAATTACAATTGTTTATGAAAAGATAACTGACTACAAAGTACATTTTAATGCACTACGAATACCTTTATAAGAATATCTGTATAATGTAGGCTATTATGAATATTTTTTTTAATGCACGAACGTCTGACAGCTGCTCCACTGACATTGCGCACAGCATCTGCCATTCTCTTGAAGCCATTATGAATCAAGTTCATTACAATGACAAAAACTGATCGAAAAAAAACTTACTTCTGTTATCGACGTTGTGGACGATATGAAGGTCGTGTTCGACTGTGGTACCGTGTGCAGAGGTCTCAGTGGCGGACAGAATTAGCAGCAGCAGGAAAGCGACCGTTCCCAAGCGCGAGCCAATCAGACACTTTGTCACGGGCTGAGTGAAGGCAGCGGGCAGCATGCTGAGTCTGATACAGGGCACTGTATATAACATGATACAGGGTGCTCAATATTATAACTAGTGCAAAACATGTACAGTTTCTACATGATCTGACCCTTAAAATTACTTTTTGCATATATAAAATGTATAAAAAGAAAATATAGGCTGTATGTTCTAGTCCAAACTGTGCTAGATGAAAAATCTAAATATATAATTCAAGTAAAAAAAATATTTTGAAATTCAACTATTGCACCTATGAAAGTCATTTTAGGGGTCAGATCAGGTAGAAACTGCCCACATTGTGCACTAGTAACTGTAATCAAAACTTGCCTCACAAAATTATTAAAACAATAAATTCTTTTCACCTTTATAAATATTGGACCTTAAAGTGTGACCAATATCTTTACTTGAATGAACAATTTCTGCTGAGAAATTCACTTTAGAAATCACCAAGAACATTTAATTTAATACATACCTGGTTAAATCGATAAGAATTTTTGGACTTACATGTGTCTTTGGACGTTTGCTCTTCAGTAATGGGTGTTTCTGGGGTCAGAGTCCTTTCGTCAGTCCAAGTAATTCAGGAATGTTGTGCTTATATATCGTAAGGTGTCTGTCACAAAATGGATCAGATCACGTCAATCTCGCAGGACATCCCTCCTTACACACTCACACCTCCGACTTCCTCCTCTCCCCTCCTCCTCTCATCGTTATCAGCATCTCAACTCCTTTGATCCCTTGACTTGGACCCATCACAGTGAAGGAGTGATGAGAGAGAGCTTGTCCATTTGTGAATCAGCCCTGATGCACTTTATCAGTGGATCTCTGACACACACACACACACACACACACACACAACATTAACTTCTGTAAGAAACATCACATCAAGTTCCACATGTTCACTGAGAATTTGAATTTGACAGCTACAGCAGAGGCCACTATTCATTTAAAAACTTTTATTCATATATATA